TGATCTGGTATTGTAAATTAATTTTTTTATATAGTGCATACCAGGTAAAGTTCAATCGTATAACATTGATAGTTCCTCATATTATTTTGTAACCTATTTATTAGCCGAGATAGGTGATTCAGTGGCAATGAATAATGTTGGTCTTTGTTATCGCCATGGAATTAGATAGAAATAAATTCCCAAAAATTATTTGGACATTGTAAGAAATCTGCTGATTAGAGCAATACTACTGCAAAATAATATTGGTGAGTTGGTCAAATCATAATAAAGCATTTGAATACTATAAAAAAATCTGCTAATGAATCATTTAACATATTAGTCCAGAATTTAAAAAAATATTAGATGATGAGAGATTTAAATTAGCTTGGATTAATTATAATGAGCTTATGCAGAATAGTTTGATAGAGTTAATAATATATAGAATAGTAATGCACTTAAAGTGATTCATAATTTAAACGAAAGCAAGCAAGAATTTATTCACGAATTAAAGAATTATTGTGAAATTGGTTAGGGTGATCTCATTTATCACCTGATTTTTTTTTATCAGAGGCTTACCCCCCCAGTTTTTAATATATAAATTATCAGGTTTTATATATAAAATTTTAATTTTTTTGACCCCTCCTAGAAAATCACCTGATAATTGTCAGCTTTTTTACGAGAATCCATCATTCTTGGAATACATTGGAGTATCAAGAAATGGTCATAGTGATAACATTATTGTTATAGAATATGCATTAAAAGAAATGTTGCAACAAAATCTTGTACAAGTATCACAACTAGAATGAAAAGATAAATTAAATATCTTGTACTATATAGCTTTGGATCTGGAGTCAATTTATTTGCAAGAACCTGTTTACAGAGATTTACACCTGTTCATAGAGATTTACACAGCGAAAATATTACAAGTATTACAACTAGAATAAAAAGATAAATTGAATATCTTGTACTTTATAGCTTTGGATATAGAGTTGATTCATTTGCAAAAACTTGTTCACAGATTTACACAGCAGAAATATTTTGCAAGATAATTTGCATAATGCATATATTACAGACCTTGGAATTTCTAAAAATGTAAAAGAAAAAACTTGTGGAATTCTGCTGTATATAGCATCTAAGGTTTTAGTGGGACAACCGTATACTTCAGCATAAGATATTTACAGCTTTGGAGTTATCACAACAGAGATTTCGACATGACAAAGAGCATTTGATAGAATTCTATTTAATGGTGATCTTGTGTTTAGAACCAGATTGGTATATTAAATTAGCTATGAAGTGTATGAATAAAGAAGTGACTTACTACAACAGAAATTATTGAAATAAGTATATATTAGCTAGATGAAATGGATCAGAAAGATAATAATGAAATCAAAAAACAAATTCTGGAGGCTAATAAGATTTAACTAGAATCGATTAAGCAAATACATCTACAAGTCTTATATACTAGCAAAATATATAATATGAAAAAAAATTTAAATATACCTGGGTTCAATGGTCTAACTACTAACTTGTCAGTACTAAATATACATATAAATACATTTAGACTTAGACTAATCTGCAGACTTCAGACCAGACCCGGACCAAACTCAGACTTGACTAAAAAGTCTGAATATAAAAGTCTGAGTCTGGTCTGAAAATCAGACCAGACTCAGACTTGACTAAAATCTGGTTCGGGTCTAGTTCGTAAGAGCACTACCACTTATCTATTTAATATATATAAAAACAATTCGCTAAGAGAATATATAATCACACAAATACTTGGCTCGATAAAACTCATATTTCTCCTTTTAGGTTACCAAATATACAACTCTGCCATTTTCATAAAATTCCTCACAACAGACCTGCCACCAACAAGAACTTATTTTGTACTACCTGCCTATATAATAGAAAAAAATGATAAAAATCCTTACTACAACGATACTATTATAAAATATATATATCGATCTCATGATCCCTAATTCAAAAATTTCACTTACCCAAAATACTATGAAAAATACTCGATTACCCCCTCTCGATCTACAACATTATGCTATACCTACTGCAATGAATTAAAAAACTATATAGTAAAAGAAAAAAAGAAATTATAATCAGACATTATCTATTAAGAATCAAAGACAGTAAACTATACTTTTATCGACAATTACTCCTGAATGTTCTAGCAAGAAATAAAACTGGCTACAAAGCAAACTCAACAGAATCATACAGAGAAAAATATTTGTTACTGTTTCTTAATACACTCTCCAACTTATGAAACCAAAAAATAAATATATACAATTCTCAAATATCCAACTTAAACACCCAATTTGCTAAAATATTAGATAGACTGTTGTACTTGCTAAATCACCAACTACTCACAGACCTTTATTACATAATCCACAGACAATTAGAAAATCTAAAAATCCTCTCAAATATTATTCAACCTACTACCGCACTCAAACTACCTCAGGACCAATACAACATATTATCAATCATATCCATATATATAGGTCACATAAGCAATAACAAATGGCTCTATTTTTTTATAACAGGGTCTGTGAGAACCAGAAAATCCTATATCATCAACATGATTATAAGGCTACTTGACCAAAAACACTCCAAATACTTACTATTAGCTCCAATTAGTGTGGTGGCTCAGAACATAAATGAAAAAACTATTCACTCTGAACTTCATATAATATCTACTTACAAAAGATTTTTTATACAAGCTATTGCAAACAAAGAACTCAATTCCTGTTTAAAACAATTCAAATACTATAATAATTGATGAAATATTAATGGTATCTGCAGAACTAATAAACTTTATTACCAATCTATTCGCCAGCCTATACAACAATACAACAGTATTTGGTGGTATCAATATAATTGTTATCGGTAATCTATTACAATTATCTCCAGTCACAGAACAACACATATTCCAATCATTAATTTGGCCATTGTTCTGCCTCTTATTTCTCAGAATGCCACACTGACAAAATACTAATCTACAATTTTATACCCTCTTACAAGAAGTAAAAACAGGATCCATCTCTACAAAAACCTGGAATATATTACACTATCATCATATCAAATTTCTCGACCACTCTACAATAGATATATTACTAAACACTACACATATAGTAAGATTCAGGAAGAATATACAATGAATAAACAGAATAATCTGCAAAATGCTCCTAGTATCAAATAATAAATTTCTACTATCAAATGCAACAGATTATGTAGATACTACACAGTAGAACACCACCCATTCTGATAAAATATTCAAAACAAAAACCAACCTACTATCTTCCATTCATCTACAACCAGATGCCTGAGTAATATACCTAAACAATTTATTGATTGAACATGGAATATACAATAATACTATAGAAATAATAACTGATATAGAACTTAGTTTAAATAGCTTTTTCAATAAGAAGCTCCATAATAGACATCAATATATGCAAAGACATTCACTACTTCCAAATCAATAGAATAAATTGCTACTAAACACAATTTCCTATTCAAAACTGCTTTGCTCTTACCATTCACAAAACACAAGGTTTAACTCTTTCTAAAATCTCCCTTTCACTAGATGAAAACATATTCTCCTCTGGCCAAGCCTATATTACCCTGAGCAGGTGTCCTACTTGAAACAATGTAGAAATAACCTATCTTAATAGATCAGTACTTAATACCAACCAAAGTGTAATTGAAGAATACTGAAGATTAGAAAACATTATCACTACCCTACCTTAATTTCTTAATTACTTTTCTCAAACAAAATCAACAAAGAAAAAAATGCTACGTGCAAACCAAATAAAACAAAAATAAAATATTAGTACATATCAAAAGAATATTAATATAACTCTTGACTGTATATCTAATAACGCACCATACTACCTGACAATAAATACTATATAAAAATCAGTTAAAAAACTGGCTAGTTAAAATCTATATACAATTTAAGATAATATATAATAATAATAGGATATATAATAAAAAAATTTTATGTATAATAATTTGATTATTACTAATAATTCTATATAAATTATAAATAAGAAAAAAAACTCATGTTGGTATTTAACTTTCTTTGAAAAAAAATACATCTATGTTTATAAAAGATTGTTTCTCAATAGTGCAAAATAATCCAAAATTATCAAGATAGCGAAAGTATTTATCCTTGCTATGAAAGTAAATATAGCAAGGACATATAATTTAAAATAGTTTTTTTTATTTTAAATGTATAATAAAAGTAAGAGTTTATCTAATTTTCAACAGGTTTAAAAAAATATTTAAAAAACCAAAGCTCTATAAACTGATTATACACAAAATTTTTACATCTATACTGTGAAAAAATCATTATAACAATACCACAAAAAGTTAAATGGGCTTTCTTTAAGGGTCTTTTAAAAAGACAATTTTAAATGAAGCAAGCAAGATAGATCCTGAGTCAATAACAAAACTAAAGGAAAAGGTAGTTAGCTTGTTATATTTTGCAGAAAGAGTTTTTGGTTATGTTTCTGGAGATGTTTAGAGCTTTCTGTCTCAAGTGATGTTAAAGAAGCTCTTAAATATATCTTTACTTGTTTTTGAAATACTACTTGGTTCACATGCTATATGGTTCTTAATATTTCAAGTTCTCTACTAATTACTAATTCATCCTGTTTATTATTTTATTATTTACTGTTATTCACAATAGATAAAATATATATTAGGAAGAGTCTATTGGAAAAAAGCTTTAAAAGTGATTAGTTAAAGTCAAATTTTTTCTTTTTTCTTTTTCTTCTTTTTCAAGAATTGATAATTAACTTTATTAATTATTCAAAAATAGAAAAAAAAGTTTACTAAGCCTAACCAATAAAAGGATCTTATATAAAAGAAATAAGAATTTTAGTTATTTTAAAAAATTAGATTCAAACTCAAACTCAGTAAAAAGCAAAACAGATTCTCTAGATTTTGAGTATATACCTTTTTCTAGAGTCAAAAATAAGCTTATAAATGAGGATCAGATCGATTTAGACAAAATGAATCCAGATAAAACTGGCGATTATAATAGTATAATTGATGATAATGGTGTAGATAATACGAATAAAGATCAAACCAATGAATATTTTTTAATAGATAAAGATATTGATACTGAAGTTAATAATAATGATAAAGAAGGTGATGAAGCCAATAATGATATAGAGAAAATTAATAAAAATTTTCCAAGAAACTATGATGAAGTTAATAGTTATGTATTAACAACAAAGTTAATAATATTGATAGTTATATAATAAAGTCAATACTGTTAATAGTTATACAATTAGCATTAAAGTTAACAATATTGATAGTTATATAATCAGTAACAAAGAAATAATGCTGATAGTGTTGATAGATATATAATCAGTAACAATTATGATTATAAAAACTATACAAAATATAGGAAAGAAGAACAACAGCAAATAATTTACAGATTATGAGTACTTAAAAGTAGTACCAATATTGGTGAAGAAATAGATAAATACTGTATATTCAAATGATTCCAGAAGCTCATAAATGTATAAAGTGAGATTTTTTATTATTAAGGCATAGTAGATATTATGGCTATGTCTAATCATAAAGATTTTTATCAGCTTAGTATATTGAAACATTCTTGATACAACAAAAAATTTACAAATAAAATCTTTTTTTTCAACTAGAGATTAGAACAAAATTGTCAAATCTTTCAGAGATGATATAATATTGATAGAATCTGATATGCCAAATACAGTAGTATATTTCTTTAATGAGCTTAAAAAGATAGCTAGAGTTTGGAACTAGTTTTACTTTTTATATATTTAATCAGTTTAACATATGAAAAAAAATTAGCATCTTCTTAAAATAGATTATTAATCTATGTTTTAGGCTACCAAAATAAATGATGAGAATATAATTGATACAGTCAAAAGTTTAATGCCAAATATTATAGAATCTAATCAAAAGATTAAACTTTCAAATAAGAACCTGGAAATTATTTCCAATTTAAAATACACTGTTCTTATATAGTAAGTTAATCTATATTTTATTTAAATTTTAATATCTTTAAGAAAACTTTAAATTAATTTTATCTTTTTTTTTTAATCTTTGTCTTAGTGCCAAAAATTTGAAGGAACCGAACGACCTGTCTCAGAAGCAGATTTTGATAATTTATTTCTATATATATTGGCCAAAAGATTCTTAGATAAATATAACCTCAAAATGGATACGTAAGTATAATAAGGATATGTAGTCGAGTTTTTATTGTTTGAAGTACATTATTTATTTATTTTTCTTTAGAGGTGAAATTGCTTGTTTAAACAGTAATAACATATAATATTTACTAAATTAAAAGCAATATACATATCAATATAACAATTAAGTTTATTAGTTTTATTGTTATCTTGATTTGTACAACTTTACATAATTAAAAATTCTGATATTGACTCAACTTCTGGAATTGGGTTAGTTCAGACAGACACTTTATTGAGAATTTTTTAAATCGATTAACCAGTTTTATTATAACCAAATTTATTTGATTAATCAGATTTATTTTATTTAATTAATTGGTTTTATTATAACTGAATATATCTGATTAAGCAGTTTTATCCTTTATTTTTAACTATTTATTTGTTATACCTATAATCCTATAGAAGCTAATAAATGTAAGCTGCTTACTACAAAATAGTAATTTTTATTTTTATATTATTAATAGTTAAAAACCTATACAATAATGCATAGAAATAAATATATCTAGTTATAATTATATATTAAATTATATATACTATATATAGTCAACTCTCTCTTAATCGAACCTCTTTAAACCCAAACTCTCTCTTATCCAAACCAAAACTTTAAGATATTTATAAATTTTATTATAAAGTTCAGATAAGCTTATAATACCTATTTAAGAACTAAACTAAAAACCCAAGAACAGGCTATTCGGATAAGAGAGAATTGACTATATACTGTATATATATATATTTATATAAAATAAGCAAATTATTATAGTGCCAGAAACTTATATCTGATAATCATATAAAATGTTTAATTTTTATGTAACTGCAATTAACTAATAAAATTAAATTAATATATTTTGTAATTGAACCTAGATGCTACACAAAAAATACATAGCAGATTTACGATTTTGATTGGCTAAAAGCAATGATCAAAAAATTAAACTGAAGTTATTTATAATTTTTACTAATGAAATCATAGCTGTCTATTAAGTAAAAATTAATTTTATTATAATACAAGTTTATTTTTTAAAAATTTTTTTTTGTAATAAAAAAATTAAAAAATTAATTTTGGCCAGAAATTAGTAAACAATTATATAATGTGGGTCAAATTTTTGACAATCCTTAGCTATTAGCCAATCAAAATCAAGGATATGCTGTGCATTTTTTGTGTAGCATTTAGGGTTAATTATTTATTGCATATTTTAAAATACTAAAACTTTTTACAAACAAATTTTTTTTTAAAAAAACAACTAATAACTTTATATATAAAATTAAGTATTACAATATTATTTGTTAATTTTTTTTAATAAATTTTTTTATAGAGTTATATTGATTTGAAGATTGGGAGTTTTTTGAACAAATATAGTATAACTTTCTATAGAAGAGCTTTTTTAAAAAAATTAATTAATAACTTTGTAGAGCTCATCTCTGTATATAAAGTTATTAGTTAGTTTTTTTTGAAAAAATTTGTTTTTAAAAAGTTTTAGTGTTTTAAAAAAAAAGTTATACTTTTAATACAATATATATATGAATAGCCCCACTAGGGGTCTAAACACTTTTGCAGTAACATAACATGGTACAAAAAAAATAACCAATTGGAATTTGTAAATTTTAATTGTTCTGGGTCAAAACAAACCACATATACAAGAAAAAAAGAGAAAATACTCAAAAACTGGTGTTTAAATTGGCCTTTAAATACTAACAAAAAGTGCCAAAAATGCAATTTTATATATAATATATAAAGCTAATAACTCTAACCACAAACCCTAATACAAACCCAAACCCAAACTCTAAACTAAAGCAAAAATACATCACACTATATAATAGTCATGTTACTACAAAAGTGTCTAGACTTCTGGTGAGGCCATATATAAAAGATTAACTCTAGGTGCCGCATAAAAACTGCATAGCAGATCTTCAAATTTGATTAGCTAATAGCTGAGGATCTTCAAAATTTTGGCTAGAATTAACTTTTTAATTTTTATTACAAAAATAAAAATTTTTAAAAAATAAACATTTTTAAAAAATAAACCAGTATTATAATAAAATTGGCCCAGGAACAATTTTACTTAATAGATAGCTGCAATTTTATTAGTAAAATTATAAGTAATTCTAGTCTAATTTTTTGATCGTTGCTCTCAACTAATGATCTGTCATGTATTTTTTGTGCGGCACCTAGGTTTAATTAAAAATGAACCATTTCATATAAAATAAATTTTTAATATGTATCTAAAATAATTTAAAAAGGTTTATTATTATTTTTTAGTTATTATATTTTTTTATTTCGAATTCAATTATTTTTATTTTTAAATAATTTAATATTTTTTTATTTAATTTTATTGTCTTATATTCTTTTTTTTATATTAATTTTTTAATTATATATATATCATAGATTTTCAAAATAGCAAGTATAGGTGTTATTTCAAAATTTGGCCTGAATTAAGCTCATACTTGCTATTTCAAAATCATTAATTTCGTATTATAGAATTTGCTATTGTCAATTTGTAATAAGAAATATTAAAAAATTCAATTACAAAACTTACCTGCTATTGGAAAACATAAATTAGTCTGTATCTGGGGTCTTATTCAAGAACCTCATTTTTAAAGTTGAATAGAATCAGGTACTATTTACAAATCTAACAATTTTATTGGGATATTTATTGTCTGGAGCAAAGCGGAGAATACTCTGTTTTTATGATAGACTGTGATTATCAAGATCACGTGAAGTTGTTCTTCCGTCTGTTTGAATATTTTTGATTTGTACTACTTCTTTTTACGAAGTACTATATAGCTATATACACTTTTATACTCTGGACTTTTACTGGTTTCCATTTCCTAGTATAGTAAGATATTCAAGGAGATACTTTATATAGTGCTACATACATAGTATTAAAATTATCATAAAAGTTGTATTAGTTTGTATTAGGAAATTTACTATAAAATTTAACCACAGAATTTACCACTATTGGGAAATACATATTGTGATTTCGATTACGTAAATATAATTTACTATAAAAAATCCTGTTAATAAGAAAAATTTTAATTATATAATTTGTATTAAAATAATGTGATATTATGGAATCTGCTATTTCAGTCAGTGTATAGCTAAGGTTTTGTTAGAATTATTCTAAAAAATCCTGTTACTAAACTCAAGGTTGTTAGTTTGTATTGAAAATATTAAAGAAAAGCGCAATTACTAAAAAAATTAAATTATTGAACTTACTAGTTGTTGGAGATATATAGTATATAAGTAAGTGCAAATTGTGTTAGTTTGTATTGGGAAATATTAAAAATAAACGTAATTCACCACAAAAAAATTTAATTTCAAAACCTAACGGCTATTTAGAAACATAGTATGTATTTAAGCTAGAATTATTGTAATTTTGATCATATTTACTATAAAAAATTCTGTTATTAAAATTAACAATAAGGTTATATTGTATTAGAAATATCAAAGAAAAACATAATTTATTAAAAAAAGTCTTACAGAACTTACCAGTTAGTAATAGTTAAGTTAGCTTGCATTGGAATTATGCAATATTCATTACTATTTGAACTATCGTGCTTTCAATCATGATTTACTGTAAAAAATCCTATTACTAAAGGTAGTGTTAGTTTGTATTGGAAAAAAAAAAGTAATTTACTGTAAAAAAATTTAATTAAAAAACTTAAAAGCTATTGGAAATACATAGTATGTGGTTAAGTTAGTTTTGTATTGGAACTATTGTAAATTCAATTGGGATTTGCTATAAAAAATTTGGTATTAAACTTAAAGTTGGATCAAAGAAAGAATAACAGTAAGTAGTTTCATAGTTTCTTGTTCTTTATTTCAATCCTATTGTATCAAACCAGTCTCTCTTAATTTTTGTAGTAGTATATTTTGTAAAGCATAGTGTTAGTTTGTATTGGGAAATATCAAAAAAAAAATCAATTAAAGAACTTATCAATTACAAAGGACATAGTATAGTTAAGTTAGTTTGTATTAGAATTATTATGATTGATCTACTCCTGGTACTAAGATTAATAGCAAGGTTATATTAGAAATATCAAAGAAAGTATAATTAGCTTGCATTGGAATTACACAATATTTATTACTATTTGAATTATCATGATTTCGATCGTGATTTTTGTAAAAAATCCTGCTACTTTGTGTTAGTTTGTATTTGGAAGTATCAAAAAAAAAAAGTAATTCACCGTAACAAATTCAATGAAAGAACTTAACAGCT